AAAAAAAAAAAAAAAAAAGAAAAGAAAAGAAAGGCTTTGGTCTAGCTTAGCTGTTGGCCAGGGTGTACCCTGGAATCACCTGTCGATTGAAGGCTCTAATTTGCAGATGTGTGGCCTGGTGGCTATGATTGTAGCCGCCCCCCACAACTTTCTCTTAAACTAAAATATAACATACATACAGAAAAGGGCAAAAATCTCTTTTTTAAATATTAGTCAAGTGCAGCAGTGAGCCATGGGGAGACAGTAGAACAAGGACTTCAATCTGTAACTGACTGTGAGTAATCAACTGAGGTAACGCACTGCCTTTGGGCCAGGCAAGAGCACAGAATCTTCAGGCACAGCTTGATGAATGTTTAAAGGTGAACACACGCTCATGACCAGGAATGAGTGCTGGTTCAGAGCTCTGTGGTGACTGATAGGGGCACATATTCCTTTGTGTCCGGCTCCTCGCACTCCACATTGTTTGTGAGATGCATCCAGGTTGCTGCAAGGAGCAATGGTTCATTCTTTCCAGATGCTGTGTGGTATCCACATATGAGTATAAAACAGTTTAGTTATCCATTCTACTCCTGATGGACATTAGAGCTGTTTCCACTTTGGACTGATATAAATAATACTGCTATGAACACTTTTGCACGTGGCTTTTGGCATTTATTCATATGCATTTCTGTTGGGCATTGATACGGTCTGGCTCTGTGTCCCCACCTAAATTCCATCTGGAATTATAATCTCCACGTCTTGGGGGCGGGACCTCATGGGAGGTAATCAGATCACGGGGGTGGTTCCCCCATGCTGTTCTCATGGTGGTGGGTGAGTTCTCACAAGATCTGCTGGTTTTGTAAGGGGCTTCCCCCTTCATTTGGCTCTCATTCTCTCTCCTGCTGCCCTATGAAGAGGTGCCTTCCACCATGATTGTAAGTTTCCTGCGGCCTCCCAGCCATGTAAAACTGTGAGCCAATTAAATCTCTTTTCTTTATAAAGAATTTCTTCATAGAAATTGGGAATTTTACAGGACAAGTGGCTCACACCTGTAATCCCAGCACTTTGGGAGGCCAAGGCAGGGGGATCACCTGAATTCGAGACCAGCCTGACTAACATAGTGAAACCCGTCTCTACTAAAAATACAAAAATTAGCCGGGCATAGTGGCAGATGCCTGTAATCCCAGTTACTCAGGAGGCTGAGGCAGGAGAATCGCTTGAACCCAGGAGGTGGAGGTTGCAGTGAGCCTCAGCTCACTCGAGCCTGGGTGAAAGAGCAAGACTCTGTCTCAAAAAAAAAAAAAATTGGTAATTTCTTAATAGCAGTATGAGAACAGACTAATACAGGCATGTAGTTAGGAATGGAACTCATGGGCCATAGGATATTTGAATGTTCAGCTTGAGTAGATATTGAGAGTAATTTTTAAGGTAATTTTCAATTTATACTCCCACCCACAGCATATGGAAGTTCCTGTTGCTCCCACAACTTTGCTAATTCTTGGTATCAACGGTTCAGTTTTGGCCATTTTATTTTTTGTTTTTTATTTCTGGTTGACTTGTCAGCAGGAAGTTTGTTTTTTTTTCCATTGAAAACTTTCGGCCATTTTAGTGGGTATGCCGAAGTATTTCTTTGTAGTTTGAATTTGCATTTTCCCATTGACTAAGATGATGTCAAGCACTTTTTCAGATATTGTTGGTTATCTGGATATTGTCTCTTTTTATTGAGATGGATGTTGTCTCTTTTTTTTGAGAGGGAGTTTTGCTCTGTCACCCAGACTGGAGTGCAGTAGCACAATCTCAGATCACTGCAACCTCTGCCTCCCAGGTTCAAGTGATTCTCCTGCCTCAGCCTCCTGAGTAGCTGGGGCTACAGGCGCACACCACCATGCCCTGCTAATTTTTATATTTTTAGTAGAGATGAGGTTTACCCATGTCAGCCAGGATGTTCTCAATCTCTTGACCTGGTGATCCGCCCACCTCAGCCTCCCAAAGCGCTGGGATTACAGGGGTGAGCCACCATGCACAGCTAAGAAATTTTGATTTTAATTAAACCTTTTATTTATTTATTTATTTATTTTTTGAGATAGGGTATCGCTTTGTTGGAGTCTTGCTCCAGGCTGGAGTGCAGTGGCATGATCACAGCTCAGGATGAAACGATCCTTCCACCTCAGCCTCTCAAATATCTGGGAACACAGGTACATGCCACCACACCTGGCTAATTTTTATATTTTTTGTAGAGACAGGGTTTCACCATGTTTCCTAGGCTGGTCTCAAACGCCTGGGCTCAAGAGATCCTCCTGCCTCAGCCTCCCAAAGTGCTGGAATTACAGGTACAAGTTACCATGTCTGGCCTTAATTAAATCTAATGTACCAATCTTTTATGATGACTACTGCCTGTCTCCTGTTTAAAGAAGAGGTTAAAATTCATTTTTCCCACAGGGACATCCAATTGATCCAGAATGAGCTATTGAAAAGACCATCCTTCCCCACGGCTTTGCAATGGCCATGACAAGTCAGGTCACCATAGGCATGTGTGTCTTGCCTGCGTTCTGAAAGTCCCATAGGTGTCCTGAACCGCTAAGAACTTCCAGCCTGACAGGGAATCCTGCTCTCCTCCTCACCTCCAGCCAGTGCTGGCTCCAGGTTTTAGCTCCTTCTGCTGTGCATCTCTCTCCTGGCTGACCCCGATGGCCCCTAACTGGTCCCCTATCCTGTCCTGTACTCTTTCCTCCTCCAACCCCTTCTCCTCCCTGCAGCCTAATGACTGATCACATGCTCTCCCACTGGACACTGGGCCTGGGCACTGTCCCTGGCCTCCCCCATCTCTCTTCTCTCTGCTTCCTCACTCCAGCTACACTGGCCCTCTCTCTGTCAAACTTCCCATCAAGGCCCTTACATATGCACCTCCTGGTGGAACTGCCTTCTGCCTTTTCTAAGTCCTAACCACGCCTCCATGTCAGCAGAGCCACACTCTCAGACAGGCCTTCCCTGTGGCTCCAACCTACATCTGCCGCACCACTGTACTCTCATAACCAGTCTGTAACTATTTCCCCGTGTAATCATTTGTTTTGCCTGTTTTTCTTGCCAGACCTCAAACTCCAAGCAGCTAGGCACTATGGCCATTTCTGTCTCTGCCGTCCCCTAGCCTGGGTTGGGATGGCCATAGGGTCATGGTTCCTCAGTGTGGGGAGGAGGCAATGGCCTGGATTTACCTTTGCAGAGGAACTGCAGGATGGCCGCGGTGCCGTCGCCACACACCTCCGGCGGCGGGTAGACCATGGTGGAGGCGTCAAGGCTCAGCATCTGCAGACACAAGGGGAAACCACTTTACCGTACAGTTCACTTCACTACCAGCACAACCAGAGACTACCTGATTTCCTTATCAGTTTGTGTGTTGCCTGTCCTCTCTACCCAGCAGGCACGGCAGCAGCGTTCCCAGTACCTGGGATGGCTGCAGGCAGGCAGCGAACACTCGGTTCACTTTTTAAAAAATTTTTCTGAGACAGGGTCTCACTCCCATCACCCAGGCTGGCTCGACCACTGCAGCCTTGACCTCCCCAGGTTTAAGTGATCCTCCCACCTCGGCCTCTCAAGTAGCTGGGACTTTAGGCACATGCTACCATGCCTGGCTAATTTTTTAATTTTTTGTAGAGATAAGGTCCTGCTATGTTGCCCAGGCTGGTCTCAAAGTCCTGGGCTCACGCAATTCACCTGCCTCCCAAAGTGCTGGAATTACAGGCGCGAGTCATACACCAGGCCTCTCAGTTTACTTTGGATAAATACATAAGTGAGTGTAAAAAAGGAAATTATAGGAGAGCATACAGAACATGATTCCACTGGCTGAGTGTGGTGGCTCATGCCTGTAATCTCAGCATTTTTGGGAGGGAAAGGTGGGAGGATCACTTCAGCCCAGGAGTTCAAGTCCAGCCTGAGCAACATAGTGAGACGCCCCACTTTTTTAAAATTCTTTTTTCTTTCTTTTTTTTTTTACTTCTTTTTTCTATTTTAAAAAAAAGAATATTATTCTTCCTTTTTCCTTTGTTAGATGATATATTCATATACTTTTGCATTAATATTTTATAGAAAAAAATTTGGAGGAATATGTATCAAACTAAGTTTCCTCTAAAAGGAGATTCTGAGTTACTCTCTACATTAAATGTTATTTATTTCTTTTTTGAGATGGAGTCTTGCTCTGTGGGCCAGGCTGGAGTACAGTGGTGTGATCTTGGCTCACTGCAACCTCTGCCTTCCAGATTCAAGCAAATATTCTGCCTCAGCCTCCCAAGTAGCTGGGACTATAGGCACATGCCACCACGCCCAGCTATTTTTTGTATTTTTAGTAGAGATGGGGTTTTATCAAGTTGCCCAGGCTAGTCTTGAACTCCTGACCTCACCTCGTCCTCCCACCTCGTAATCCACCCACCTCGTCCTCAAAAGTGCTAGGATTACAAGCTTGAGCCACCGTGCCCGACTGAAATGTTTCTTAATATTTGCATTTTTTTTTTAACAATATACAGTATGACTTTTTAATATGTAATGACAAAAGTTTGCCGGCACACACATGCAGATGCCTCCGTGTTTATGAAGCCCAGGAAGCAGGGGCCTGAGCTCACACCCACAGAACCGCCCCCTCTGCGGTTGAGTTACGTTGCACCCAGTCTCCCCCTGCCAACCTCTGATCTCACCGAGTGTGGGCAGGCACGGATATCCTCTATGCCTGGGTGTCAGGGGAGTCCTAGAAAAGGAGAAGGCCTGGGAAGCTCTGATTTTGCTGTAGCACAAGTGGCTGGGTGGGAAAGGCGGCTCCAGCCCCCCAGCCCTGGCCAGCACAGCCCTCGCACAGTGGGTGCTGAGTGAACACGCCCTGCACAGCAGAGAGGGAGACCACCCCAGGGAAGAGGAACTCACTGCGCAGATGCTGAGGGCCCGACAGCAGAAAACCCCATGCTGGACACCCAATCTGGCACAAATGAACCCCACATGGGTGCTTAGTCACCATCAGTAAAACGTGGTGACTTAAGGGCATGGACTCTGGGCTACGCCAGAGCACGGATGCTGGCTACAAGCCATGTGTGGCCATTTACGGTTACATTTTAATTAACTGAAAATAAATCAGATTTAAAGTTTGGGTCCATGGCTGGTTGCAGTCACCACATTTCAAGGGCCCAGCAGCTACAAGTGGCAGGGGTGGCCGTGTTGGCTGCACAGATCATACAGCATTCTCATCGTGGGTAGCAGGAGGAGCGACTGGACATTGCTGTGCCAAAGACACCACCCTGGCTTCAGATCCGGCCATTGCATGCGGGCCCCTTAGTGTCGTGGGGTTGCGGTCCCCTCATAGCCAAACAGGCAATGTTACCATCCTGGTATGCTGTTGGGTGGGTGACGTGTGTGACACCTTAAGAAGACCCTGCCCACAGGACAGCCTGAGCTCAGAATGGTTCTCTTATCCTAAAAGAAGATTTGTTTGTGCCGGGCGTGGTGGCTCATGCCTATAATCCCAGCAATTTGGGAGGCCGAGGCGGGCAGATCATGAGGTCAGGAGATTGAGACCATCTTAGCCAACATGGTGAAACCCCATTTCGACTAAAAATACAAAAAAGTTAGCTGGGCGTGGTGATGCGTGCCTGTAATCCCAGCTACTCAGGAGGCTGAGGTAGGAGAATCGCTTGAACCAGGGAGTGGGAGGTTGCAGTGAGCAGAGATTGTGCCACTGTACTCCAGCCTCCAGACAGAGCAAGAGTCCTTCTCAAAAAAAAAAAAAAAAAGGTTTGTCTGAGGTGCCACCAAGAAACTCAAAAGATTTTGTTTTTTTTAAAGGAATCAAAATAAAATGAAGTGTCCAGGTTGGGAGTGGTGGCTCATGCCTGTAATTCCACCTACTTGGGAGGCCAAGGTGGGACGATTGCTTGAGCCCGATATTGAGACCAGCCTGGGCAACACAGTGGACCTCATCTCTACAAAAAATAAAAAAATTAGCCAAGTGTGGTGGGGCACACCTGTGGTCCCAGTTTCTTGGGAGGCTGAGGAGGAGGATCTCTTAAGCCTGGGAGTTTGAGGCTGCAGTGAGCTATGATTGCATCACTGCACTCCAACCTGGGTGACAGCATAAGACCCGGTCTCAAAGAAAAAAAAAAAGATTTAAGTGTCCAGAGCTTGCACCAGATGTCTGAGGATGCTTTCAGGATAGGGAACATGTGCTCTGAGCTGTGTTGTCTAAAATGGTAGCCACTAAGGACCCACGGCTATTTAAATATAAATTAATTAAAATTCAATGAAATCAAACTTTCAGTTCCTGGCTAAACACACAAGCCACGTTCCAGGTGCTCCGTAGGTACACATGGCTAGTGGCTGCTCTGGACAGCATGGTCACTGAACATTTCCATCACTGCAGAGTTCCAGTGGGCAGCAGAGAGGACAAGCCGTGTTGGCCTGTCTCCCCAGCCAGCCCTTCCTCAGGTAAGAGGGCCCCGGCTGCTGAGGTTAGCCCTTCCTCTGCTGTCTGTGCTCACCTGCCCACTCTGACACAGATGCCTCTGCTTGGTAGGCTGGGCTGGCTGAGAAAGGGGTCTACTCCAGGCCACTCTGGAATGCTGGCCAGACTGCATGTCATCATAAATGGAGAAGTCCCTGTTCCAGATGCCGAGTGGCCCAGGGGCGGGGAGCACAGGCGTCAGCTTCAGACGGTCTGGTTACAACCATCTCTGCTGTCACTGACTGCGTGGCCCTTGGGCAAATTTCTTAAACTGCATATGCCTCAGTTTCTTCATCTACAAAGTGGCACAACAGTATTTGCCTCACAAGACTTCTGTGAGGATTCAGGGAGCGATTCCAGGTCATGCCCAGCCTTAGAAAGCAACAGATAGCCGGGCGCGGTGGCTCACGCCTGTAATCCCAGTACTTTGGGAGGCCGAGGTGGGTGGATCACGAGGTCAAGAGATGGAGACCATCCTGGTCAACATGGTGAAACCCCGTCTCTACTAAAAATACAAAAAATCAGCTGGACATGGTGGCACATGCCTGTAATCCCAGCGACTCAGGAGGCTGAGGCAGGAGAATTGCCTGAACCCAGGAGGCGGAGGTTGCGGTGAGCCGAGATTGCGCCATTGCACTCCAGCCTGGGTAACAAGAGTGAAACTCCGTCTCAAA